AAGCTAGCTTGATAGGCTTAAATAAGAACTAAGATGAGATCAAGCAACGTCTATAAAGGTGAGACCATTAGTGCAAGCATTAGGTTAGCCATTTTTGCACATCTCCTCTCTTATTTCCCCACACCAAAACCGGCCACACTCCTCCATTCTCTCTCAAAAATATTTTCTTCTACTCTCCCAATCTTGAGCCACTAGCAAACAATAGAAGAAGAAGAAGGAGATCAAAGGGTCTAGGTGGATTCTAGACAAGCATTTCTCCAAGGGTATAAAACTCTAAATCCTCTCTTTTTCATGTTTTAGTAAAGTTTGAAATATAGAAATGTTCTTCTCAAATTTCCTTATACTCTTCTAGTTCCAAGCCACTAACAAATCTTAGAGGAGTTCAAAGGTTTTCAAGAGAGAGAGGGTTCTTCAAGGGTAAGTTCCTAAACTCATCCCCATTAACTTCTGGCCAACTTTAAGCTTGAATTTATGGATGTAAATTTGTGGTTCTTGAGGAGATGAGTTGTAATAAGGGTGTGTGAGTTTATGTTAATTTTGCAAGTTTTGAGGTTACTTTGATTAGCAATATGTGGTATGTTTATACTTGGTTGAAGTTTGCTTATTTTTGGGTAGAGGAAAATTTTCCGGTTACTTTGAACGCGAAAATGAGGACCCTAGAGCGGGATTTTTCAGTATTTATAAGCTTGAACTTATAGTTCTTGATATTTTAAACTTTTTCTGTGATTATGACAAAACCCAATTTTAACTCTAAAAGTAAGCTTAAAGCCATTTTTCAAAAACGGATCAGGCTGTCCAACACAGTTTCAGAAAAAAAATAGTAGCCACTGTTTTTAGCCAAACAATGCCTTTAGATGCTGAATTTCAGTTTTCTCCAAAGATAATAATTTTAAATCTCAATGAGATGAAGAACTTTCGTGAAGAACAGATTTTTAAAATCCGAACCTAAGATGTAGTAAAATGTAGATTTCCGAAACTGCGTAGTTTTAACCAAAATAGTTAACTGGCAGCCACTAGTTCAGCCAAACGAGACCTTTAGATGCTGAATTTTAACTTTTACTATAAACAAAAATTTTAGATCTTGATGAGATGAAGAATTGTCACGAAGAATAAAATTTTGGAATGTGACTCTAAGATGCAGTAAAATATAGATTTCAGAAACTGCACAGTTTTTAACAAAACAAAACTGAAACAGTGTCGTTTTTAGCAAAAAGTCATCAAAGAACCCGAGATAGGATTTCAGTAAAATACATTGGCATTAAACCTCATTTTAATGAAAGTATTCATAAAGAAAGTTTTCAAGAAAAAATACTTTCTTTAAAGAACATAGTGGTTTATCAAGCGAATCATTCTGACGGGCACCTACGAGCCCAATACGATAGGTCCGTAGAATTTTGAAGATTTAATATGGGTCTAACGCCCGTATTAGTTTAAGAGACTCCGTTGTCGTATAAATTTTAGCGGTTTAGAAGTTAGAATGCCAGGTATAAGTCCTAGGCCGAATTAGGCCTTAATAACATAACAATAAAAATTAAGGAAAATAAGATTTTGAGAATTTGATAAATCGATCCTTATAAATCTTTAGTAAAGGAGAGGAATATATGCCTTATGGAAAGGGTTAGATTTTCCTTCATAAGTTGCTAAAATAGAATAGCAAACGACAGTTAACCTCACACTCTTAATGGGTGTTCATTTTTAGAAGAAAGCAAGTGAGAGACTAGGCTGTTTGGCAAAAAGGGGACTCCAGCTTTGAAAATCAAGTAAGTAGGAATCTCGCCTACAGTATAAATAGATTTTAAAGTAAACAGTACACATGAACTATATATGTTTGAGTACATTTAATGTTATGAATGCTATGATATGTTATACTACATACACCCGTTCGGTTCGCTAATTCGAGTTGAGATGTGATGTTGTGTGAGAGCTTTTTACGGTAGCAAAAAAGTTAGATGTGACTGTTTCTGAGAGCTTTTTACTGTAGCAAAACTCAAATTCTAAACTCGAATCAGCGAAATGAACGGGGCATTAAGTAGTACACATGAATTACATGTGATCAAGTACATTCCATGTTATAGTATGCAATGATAGGTCATATTGCATACACCTTAATAAGTCAAGAGGAACTTATAAGAATAATCTCAGTTGAGTGCCGTACCAGCCTCCGCAAGGGAGGTACCTCATGCTCCACAAGGGAGAAAAGAAAGAAAAAAAAATTATGTCCTCCGCAAAGGAGGCATTCAGTTCAGTTATAATCAAGGTGTCGTGGGGGACCTTGCAAACCCTCATGTTCCGATGATTGCACGCAAGTGGTACAAGCACTCGGGCCCAAAAGATAAGAAAGATAAAAGAAGATAATAAGATTCTGATAAGACATCATAATTAAGCATAATTGGCTCATGCATATTTATTCATGTGAACTTATAGTTATTTTGCAAGAGGTAGTTCTTACTTGCTGAGCGAAAGCTCATTATAGAATGTTTATACTGTAGGTAAGCAACCGGCGTATAATGCCTAATGAACTGACGGCGAGTGGACGAACGATGTGGAGATCGGAAAATGGATATCGCTCGTAAATATTTCCGCAATCAGTTTTATGTATAAATAGTTTTGCTAATTATGATTCTGAAACTGTATGTTAAATCGTTTTGAGGATTATGGCTATTATTAAGTAAGACTTAAGGAGTAGATATATATATATATATATATATATATAGGCTTTGAGAACAGATATGTTAAGGTTTGAATATTTTGATTAAGAAAGCAAATTCATATCTTATGCTTACTATAAGACTTTAAAAATATATATATATATATATATTCTGCAAATTTTAAGAAATTTCAGTAAGTAAAAATTAAAAAGTCAGCTACAGTGGCGGCCTCTTACGATGGTCGCCACATCATTAATATCAAATATCATAACTTAATGACTTCTCAAGCTTAGCTTTTAGAACGTCATATTCATAGCAAAAAAATACTAAAAAAAACGTCATAAAATAAGCTTAAATATTATTTTTCTTAACTAAGCTAGTTGCTAAAAAATACCGAGTCTTACAAAACACGTATCCGGATTTAGACTTTCTAAAATCCTTATCTGACATAAAATCAGAATCTGTATATATATCCTACTGGAACAAGCTCATCATATGAATATACGAGCATATAATTCTTAGTTCTTTTCAGATACTTCAAAATATTCTTGACTGCAGTCCAGTGTTGAGGTCTAAGGTTGAACTGATATCTACTGACAATGCCAACTATAAAGTAAATATCTGGCCTTATGCACAATATTGTATACATGAGACTTCCTACTGCTTCCGAATAAGGAATCCTTCTCATTTGCTCACTTTTTTTATTAGAATAGGAGACTGATCCTTTAAAAATGTAATTCCATGTCTAAAAGTCAATGAGCCTTTTTTGGAATTTTTCATGTTGAATCTAGCTAGAATTTTATCAATGTAAGCAGCTTAGGACACAGTAATAGTTTTATTCTTCCGGTCTCCATATATTTTGATTTCAAGAATGTAACTAGCCTCTTCTAGATCTTTCATATCAAACTATTTCGCTAGCAAATTTTTAACAGTGGATAACGTTCCTACATCATTTCTAATCAGTAAAATGTCATCCACTAAAGAATTAGAAAAACAATAGCTTTTCCCTTAATCTTCTTGTAAACACATGGCTCCTCAATTTTTTGACTGAATCCTAGTGATTCAATCGCTTGATCAAACCTAATGTTCCACCTCTTCTAAATTTCCAATAAAGAAAGCAGTTTTAACATCTATTTTCTTCTAAATTTCCAATAAAGAAGCAGTTTTAACATCTATTTGCCAGATTTCATAATCTAGCACTGCAACAATAGAGAGCAGGATCTCTGATCGATTTAAGCATAGCCACTGGTGAAAAGTTTCCTCATAGTTGATTCTCTCTTTTTGAGTATGCATTTTTTCTACCAGTCTAACTTTAAAGGTTTCCATCTACTCCTCTCTATCTCTTATGGATCCACTCGCACCTAATGAGTTTTACTCCATTTGGTACATCTACAAGCTCCTAGACTTTATTAGAATACATGGATTCTATGTCAAGATTCATTGCCTTTTTCCATTCTTGAGCATCCTCATCTTTTAGAGCATCATTGTAATTAGTAGATTAAGAAGGCTCCTACATCATTCAAGAGATTAAGAAGCTAAGTACAGAGAAAATAAAATATTGTTTTCTTTGATAGTTTGTTCCCTTTGTTCATATAACTAATTGACTGTTCTTGTAGTGTACAAGGTGTCCACTCGCCTAGTGCAGTCAAACTTGAGAATAGTCTGAAAGATCTGACGGGAACGTCAACTGATCTTGTGTGAGCGTCATCTCCAAACATCAAAAGGTACGATTTCTGAATGTACAATTATTTTATATATATTATGAGATGGTCTTTTATTATAGGAAACTTCCGCTGTAAATATTTTGTATGATGAAATAATTATTTTTATGAGTAAAAATTTTGTATTTGTATTGTTCATAGTACGAAATTGTAAAAATTTTCAAAATATTCCCTGCAGTGGCTGCCAATATTGAGTACAATCTTTTGGAAAAGCAAGGGATTAATTTTTAGTATTGGTCTCAGTTCCAACGTATAATGGAGGGAGGAATTGTCACGTCTATAAAATGTCAAATTCAACTAGCAAAGGCTGCTAAAGTTCATTTTGGAGAATAGAAGACATGTTGCCACATGCAGTGAATAGTCAACTATATTAAGTTCCTTTTATGGTGGACGACTTGACAAGCTGTCTTAGGGGCAATTGGCAAAAACAGAACAAAATACTGTAAAGTGTTCATATCATATTGACGTAGAACAGTAGAGAAAGAGAAAGAAATTGAAGAACAATTAGAGAAAAAGATAGACAAATTAGTTTAGAATGGAGAGAGGAAAAGAAGAACATTAGAGAGAAAACTTAGAATATTCAATCTCAATGATAAAGTCTTACATCTGAATTGCAGTGACAATATTTAGCCCGATTTATATGGAAGTAAAATAAAAAGATAAAGAAGTTAAATACAAACATCCTAACTATGAGTAAAGGAAGACACTGAAAGAGTTTTGTAAACATATTGAAATCTCTAATAAAAACTTTAGGGAATTAAACTTGATCTACTTCCTTTTTTAATATTATTTTGATAAGTGTTTTTTTTTTTAATCTCATCTATTGTTTAAAATTTGCAGACTGGACCAATTGATGATACAGCATATTGACACTTCTCTATTCGTTTGGTTTGCGTTTTAGTACAACAAAGAGGCCAACTGATTTGCACGATTCCGTGATTAAGGATGATTCTTCAAGTTTATTGCATACTAATGTATCAAACAGCTCATCCAAAATCTCATCTCCAAAATGCTCTTTTATGGTCCCCTCCAAGCCAGCTCTGAGAGTGGATGACATAACCTTGGGTTGTGGCTTTTCATGAGGTATGTTTTCCATTATTTCTATGCTAAAACAGCCATTTCGCTTCACAGCTGATTCCACTTCTTGGAGAGATGCAAAATATATTGGTATGTTAAAGGAATCTATTTTTTCCTCTCTGATAATACCCTGTCTCAAGAAATAACAGAGAAATGAGTAAAAATCAAAAAGTACTATTTGTAGCAGCTTTGGAAGCATAGGAAGCATGTATCCCATATGTTGCATTATTAATCTTTATTTTAAAAACTGAAGAATAGTTCTATTAGATACATAGGTGATGAATCTTTCGCATCTATGCATGCTTTGCCAAGAAAAGGTTATTAGCATTGTTAGTCTCTAAACTATGAGTATTGTGATTGTTAAAGTATAAAAATTATTGTTGGTCCACCTCCTAAAATCTTAAGTTTTTAGAATGGATTGGTTAACATGGTATCAGAGCAGGAGGTCCTGAGTTAAAACTCCCGTAATTGCACTCTTTATTTCCATTTCAATTGTCATCATGTGTTGGGTCTTTAATATATCTTGAGCTTAAATATTTACGTGTTGGGCTTTCCAATTAATATACCCACACGATTGTCCACTGTTTAGCTCACACATGAGAGAGAGTGTTAAAGTATATAAACTACTGTTAGCTTACCTCATAAAAGCTTAAGTTTTTTAGATAAATTGATAAACTAGCAGTGATATTTGATCCCTGATTATTTAATTTTTACATACAACCTGATTTTTTTGTTTTTTCGACAGTTTTTGTTACTGACGCTAAAATTGATGAAAGATTTGCAAAATATGGTATAGATAATTTCATCCCCATTGCATACTAAGTGAAAATTTAAATGAAAATTTTAAATTAAGAAAATGTTCAAGCTTTCTATCCTTACCTTCTTAGCCATGTCTATAAGTGAAGATTCAACTTGTTCGAATGCTTTGTTGAGGTAGGCTTCAGTATGAGGAGTTTCGTTAAGGCGACCCGGAAGAATAAGAGCCATCAAGCCTCCTACGACAATTTCTTGTGCTCTAAGTTTCATAAAGTTGTCCATGTCTTCGGCAAACTGATCTTCAAAAGCCTTCATAACTTGAGGCGTAGAATTTGAGTAGTGAACCCTCCCTTTGTTCCAAGCAGGAGAGCTCTTGTCAAGCACATCTTCTGGGACTCTAGAAAGCCACTGGGCAGCACATGAGGAATGAACAAAGTGAAGAGAGTTATTTGGAAACAAGCGGCGATGAAAAGAACCCGGCACGCCGGCGGCAAAGTAAGGAATATTCGGAGGAATAGATGTGAAAAGCTGGTTGAAATCATTCGATGCCTGATCATTGAAGAAGACTTGGAACTCGGGGTGTTGAGTACTCTTTC